TATTTTAATTTATCTTAATCAATTCTTGTTTATAATAAGGACAACAGCATACAATAATGTAATTGGATTGGAAGCTAATAAGAAACACTCTTTTTCTCTCAAGTCATATTACTTTGTTATTGTTACTCATGAATCAGAATTAATTTGCTATTATTACTTTGCGTATAAAATGATTAACGAACTGTGTGTACATTAGTATGACAAAATGCTAACAATCAGGGAATTCCAAAAACATAAATTGCATTACTTATTTTTATGTTTGGGAAGGGAGACGCTTTCAAGTTGCGATTTGTTTGCCATTGAGTAACATACGAATACTCTTGTACTGGATCGGCATGTCATAACATTGCCATTTATTAAAGCTCTTTCATTTTCTTTTATATATTGATGTGATTTTATTATCCCAAATACATTTGCGCGCACATTGCAATAAACGATAAGGAATGGTTTGTATGCATTCAAACAAGTATAGGTGGGCATTCATATGGGTTCGTCGCTTGTATAACTATAGCAACAGACATACTTTGTCATTCGTGCTGAAAGTGATCTTTTATAAAGTTGTTTTTGTAATTCCCGTCACTGTAATTAACTTGACACTGCATCAAAGTGATGTCATGATGTCGTCGTCGCCACTGTTGTCTTCTTATATATGCATACGAATGTATGATTTACTAGAACACTACACACAATGTGCTATTCCATCAACAATCATCCAATCATAGTCCATTTAGGTCACTACAATAACACAAAAAGAATGCACATCGGTCTGAAAAGTAAACAAAAACTAAATAGGTATGCAGGTGTTCTATTAGAAACGTGGACATTTTCAGAGGAAGGTTTTTTTAATGATGCACTTTATTTTTAAATAGAAATTCTATTTCACTTTGTGCTTTTATAAGTTCAATACCAATGAGACATATATTATTTTTGAACTACCTATGCATTTATGTTTTAGCAATTTCTAGAGACCAATGTTTGATAACAAAGTAGTTCTTTCAAATTCTGTAAGATTTCCTACAACAAATAGGTTTTAGTTATAGAGTCTTTAATTAAAGACAGAGATGACACTTTAACTGATATTGACGTAGGAAAGTATTTCTTATTTTTTGCAAATTTATAATAGGTGTGTCGGGTAACAATTGTCGTGTGTTAACCCGAAAGTTCTGCAAAAGAGAGCGGTTGGAGAGAGAAATTTTTACAGTTCTTTCAGTGAGAGTTTGCAAATTCTTGCTGGACAAATTACTTCATGCAATCACTTGCAACTCTTCTTCTTCTCATTCATCGACATTCAATCAGATGTTTTCTATTGTTTATTTATTTCTCTTTGCGCTTTCAATATGAAAATATTTCTGGAATTAGCAAAACTAATTGTTTTTGGAGAACAACTTTACAAAATGTGAAAAACGTAAATATTATTAATATGTAATAATAAAAAAAGACCATTTCCAACATTTTTAGACAAACGCCATTAGCAACACGTTTAAAGGATTCCGGGGAACACATCAAATCTATCTTTATTTTACTGCTCATCTTTTTATTTTATTACTAACTTCTTTTTCATTTAAACAAAAAACTAGTAAAATTAATGTTGCTTCGTTTCCTTTAATTCTTTTAATGGGGGACAAATTGGTTTGTTTTGAAAAATCAGCTGAATAGTTGCAAGCTTCTGCAGGAATACCGTCTGTTTACTTTTCGCATTTTCCTTTCCATTTAAAACTACTCTTACTCTCTCAGAAAGAAGTTGCTGGACAATTCCTGCTGGAAAAGTAACCAGACACACCTAATCATATTATTTTATGACGAATAAATTTGTGTGAAATTACTTAGGGATTGCTATCCAATGATTCATGAAATCCACGTCAAAATACTACATAGCACAATATTTATTTTAGACGACACATTTGGTAAAAAAACGCTCTTAATGGGTATAGTCCAACAGTATTTTTGATAAATTAATTTTAGACGTTTTTCTTTGCTTGACATTATATTTAAATTAGTTATTTTATATCTCACTACCTAAGCAAAACCATGATTTGATTAAACAATCTCATGACTTTGTGATAAAGATAAAGAAATGTTGCCATTTTCTCCAGTTCATTTCCTACGTTTGAAGCATTCTTAAGGTAAATATATTTATAGCGTGTCGCCGACATTGCACTGCGTACAATCTGAATATCCCCCGCAAAGGCTTATTACGAGTATTTATCAGTCAACGTCACCCTCCTCGAAAACGAGCAAGCAAAACGAATATAGTTGCAGTCAATCAGTCTGAGAATAATCGTTAGTAAATATATGCAATGTTCATATGAATACATGGGGATGTGGACGGACTTGTATTTCTTCTTCCGTCATGTCGAATGACTTTCTCCATATTCTGATGCTGCGCCTGCTTAGTTTATGCGAAAAGCAAACATATGCCGGCAACACCCATGTACCCATGTGGCCAGCCATGTTGGCTGATTGAATGCATTGGTTTTTGTGGTTGTTGGCAGAAATTTATTTGTATAATTTCTGTTATTGTGTTGTTGCTTTCCTCCAATTCATCCTCCCCACACACAGACACGAGCTCACAGAGAAACAGGCATACACACCCCTTCGCAATGTAACCAGTCTGTCGTACGCAACGTGGGGAGGACTGCATATTGGGCCTTGAATTGAGCAAGCAAACAAAGGAATCATCCTCGAATTAGGGTTGAATATTGTAAACACATGTAATTTATTCATGGAAGTCCCCCATGGACGGGCATCGTGGTATTAGTATTCCTATACGGCGGTGTGTACGGTCAGAGCAGATAGCACAAATAAATCTATTTGTACTCGAGTAATTAATTTCTTTGCCCTTCACCCACCTATCTCTGGTACTACGCCACAACCACTTTCCTTTGAGTTATGAACTTTATTTGCTTATATGTGACTTAAATGACTCATCCTAAAGGCATTCAACGTTGTTTTCTGTTTCTTTAAGCCATATACTTTAATTATTCATCATAGGGGGCATACGAATACTTTTTACATCTTACCTCTGTGAATTTCTCCTGAATCTCTGCTTTTTCGTCCGCAGAAAGGCCTTTTGTGAATTTGTTTATCGACATTGTTTGGTGTGTATGATTGTGTTGTAGATGTTATTGTTTCTTTTTTGTAATAAAAATTGGTTTGTTCTTGGGTGGATAAAAATCCTCGTTGGTTCCTTTTCTCTTTGAGGACAAACAAATATTCTTTTGTATTCTTATTTACACAATTTTATATCTCAACTCTTTGTACTTGCATTGAGATTTTACTCAATCTCACTAACACTTTCGCTTGGTTTGGCTTCTTTGTGACGTTTGACTTTCTCGGTTTCAATAGTATTACTTTTTATTTTGATATTTGCATTTGTTTTTCTCTTGCTTTTTACGTTTGAAGACTAATAAACCAAATTTAAATAAATAAGTTACTAATAGATTGTTAACCGCTTAACACGCAAAGAAAAATCGAAACGTCTACGATAAAAGAAGAAATATGTATGGCTCAGCTCAAATGTAGTCTCAGATAGAGATGCGTAAGCCTTTCGATTAGTTAACTAGAATCGATTTCGCAAAATCGAATAAGCAGTTATCGACTTTTTGGTCGACTATGCACTCTGCTGTTTGTTTTTTTTTTTCTAAAAGGGTTGCCACTCACCGGGATTCTCATGTAACTTGTTGCAATAGAAATTTATTACCTTTTAAGTGGTAAACATGTCACCTAACAGTGGTCTTTTAACGCCAAAGCCGAATGGGTGCGTTAATCGATTTCACGCCGTCAATAATGTCGATAAAAAAGAAGCACAGTAGCGCGTTTAAAATGTAAAAACCCTTTATTGTCTAATTAGCATAAACCCTTTGTTGTACAACCGTTTATTGACAATCATATAAAGCAAGTTCCCATCTCTGGATCTTGATAAACGAAACATTTGAAAACACTATGTTAATATTATAGCTGGACAAATAACTCCACAAATGGTAATGGCATGGTAGAATTAAGAAGGTACAGTCATATCAAATAAGCATGTCCATCTTTGCATTTCCTGTAATTTACCTGGTCAATATTTACAATGAATTTATAAGTATACATTAAGACAATGGAGTACATGACTTCACCTTCTTAATTCTACCTTGTTTCAAAATAATGTCCTACCCTTTATGGAAATCTGACTCAGTTGACCTCTATAATTTTACTTCGTCATGCTATAATGGAAACCTACTTATGAACCTCATCTTAAACTTTTTCTTCTTTGATAATCGCATCTTCGTTCATTCAACGAACACACTCATTTTGAATACTGTGACTCATGGTATAATTATTACAGCTGATTTGACTCTGTAGTAATACTAGTGTCAACTTCGATATGACGTGTTATAATTTAATTATTATTTTTTTTTTTTTTTGATATAAAATTTCACTGCCGTTCGATGTGAATATTAATTCTTGCCTAAGAATAGAAAAAAAGCTGTTATACTTTACAAAGGATAAAGGAACAGCGGCACCCCATTAAATATTATAAATGTATGTTTCCTATTTCCTGAGATCGCAAAATGTAGAATAATTTATGTAAATATGCTGTATGTTTTTAATTTGAGAGGGATGTTACTTTTCCGCTATTTTCTAGCGATTGCTTGAGTGATGAGCGATTTGGATATACAACTTACAACCATGGTAGAAGAATACAGGTAAATGCATCAACGCTTAGGAGCATTGATATGTAAAACAATTTAATTTTTCTAAAAAAATGAGTACATTTGTATATGTTTTACTATGAAAAAAATGTTATCCATTTTTTTTAGCAATTTTTACAATTTAAATAATTTTTCATTCAAAAATTTCAATTCTAAAATTGGTTTGACAATTAATTGTCGCAATTAGGCATTAAAATTAAATAATTTAATTTTTCTGCATTCTAAATTTAATAATCCAGAATCTAAAAATGTATATTTTAGAAATTAAAATACATAATTTGTTTGTACTCACAATCAGTAATGCATTTTGCAATCACAACAATGTATTTTGACATTTCGTTTGCTAGTCAGCTGGTTTGCAAGGCGAGCCTAATATTTGGACGACGACTGGGACAGAAGGATATTCTTCATTCGTTTTTTCTCTTTCCCAAGTAAACAAACAGCTGTTGCCTCTTCCACTTTCTACACCTTCTTACATTCTGCTTATTCGTCTTTTTGCATTTCTCTTCTCCCGCAAAACTCTGTGTTTGTACAGAGTACACAGAAAGCACAGCGCGTCGCCGCCGAAAAATCGTACCACTTCGTTGTCTGCTTTTGATTGAATTATTTCGGAATAAAACAAAATAATGAAAGAGACTCCCCTTTCCACGTGCGAAAAGAATTTTATAATTCAAGCAATTAAACAAAATCAGGTAGGTAGAGACCGAGCCTGGTAATTCCGTGCTTATTACTTATAACATTTTTCACTTTATTTTGCAGCGTTTAGATGGTAGGAAGAACGATGAGTTTCGAAATATTAAAATAAACTACGGTGCCGAATGGGGAAGTGTACTGGTTGCGTTGGGTGAGACCAAAGTACTCGCACAAGTGTCTAGCGAACTTGGTGAACCCAAAGCCACACGTCCCAATGAGGGCATCTTCCATATAAACGTCGAATTGGGTCCCATGGCTGCCCCACATTTTGAGGCTGGTCGTAATTGCGAATTAACTGTACAGCTTAACAGAACCTTGGAGAGAACATTCAAGGACTCAAAGTGCCTCGACTTGGAATCTTTGTGTATAACTGCCGAAGAACGCGTCTGGATTTTACGGGTAGATTTGAACGTACTTAATCATGAGGGAAATTTAATTGACTGTTGCTCTATTGCCACTCTTTGTGCTCTAATGCATTTTAGAAGACCAGAAGTCAGTATAGTTGAAGACGATGTAATTATACACACTGCGGCCGAGAAGGAACCGCAACCTATGGTTATGCATCATTATCCAGTTTGCGTTAGTTACTGCACATTCGACGATGGCTCGATAGCTGTGGCAGATCCTACCGTTATGGAGGAACGCACTAGTGAATCACAAATGATATTTGGAATTAACTCCTTCAGAGAACTATGCTGTCTAAATTTGGGTGGTTCTTCATTGACCAGCTCAGCGTTGTTACTGCAATGCTCAAAAAGAGCGGCAAAACATGCAAAGTATGTTGTAGAACTGGTGAAAAAGACACTAGAAAACGATTTGTCAGCTAGAGAGGATCGCTCAAATGTAGGTTTTACAGAATGCCTTAAACAAAATTCCATAACCAGTCTGGCTGAAGATCGATTGGTTTTAAAATTGAGACACTTTACATTCGAAGATGGGGATAAAAAATCAATGATAGAGGAAGAAAAATTTAATGAGAAGGACATTGAAAATGAAGAAAAAGAAGTTGGTGAGTTTTCTAAAAATTACTAGTTATTGAATACTGTTTTAATATCTGTAAACAATGTAGCTACAAATATAGATCCCAAAAACGACCTTCAGACTACAACAACCGACAAATGGTCCGTAGAAGAACAAGACGATTCTAATATGGAAAGTGAAGAAGTCGAGTCATCACAAGAAGATTGTACGAAAAATAATAAGGGTGTTCGACCAAAAAAGGACCAAAGGGGAAATCTAAGTGAGAAACTTGCCAAAACACTTGAGTATTAATATAATAATGACTATTTTCTCATTTTTGCAGAATCACAAAGCGATTCAGAGGAGGATGAAAAAATTACTATATGATTTTTTTTGTTGAAAATAAAATAATGTTAATATGGCATTGTTCGACCCTACTTCCGTTTTTACAAATTTAAATTGAAGACATCGAAAGGAAAATTTACCCATTTAATAAAGTACAAAAATCATACAAATCGTATAAGCAAAATGCCTTCAATAGTAGTCTGCATTACCCACTATAGGATATACGTTTAACGTATAATTCGCTGAATGAAAATGTTATGGTAAACAGTTTTTAGCTACACGCTAGAATTAGGACACAAGCGATTATATCAACAAAGTAAAATTGGGACCCATCAGGATTGGCTATTTTAGCTACAAGAAGAATAATAGGGAACGAGGGTGCTTTTGAGTATTTTTCAAACTTAATGCTGTCATTGTAGCAGATTTAAGTACATACTATTTTCATTTATGGTTCAATATCAAAAATCAATGCAAACTTGCGGGAATCATTGAAAAAATTAGTGTCTGGTTTCAATGAATATGTCTATTAGTTTAACAAAATTATTTGCAAGGTCGTAGCCCAAAATTGATGCGGTCAATGTTTGTCATTAGTTCCAAATTAGAGTACAGCAAGAAACGTCATACTCAAGCAACCAAAAATTAAGAAACATGGCTTTTAATGGATTTAGGCATTTTGTGTATTTTTACCAAATGCAGTTTTTACTAATGTTATGTATTTAATAAAATTAATTTAGGTGTTTAAATATATATGTATTGTTTAAAAAAAATATTACACAAATGTGAGTGACTTAAACGGTAACAATTGCTTAAAATCTACAGCTAATAGAAATAGTTTTAAATTTAATGCGAATGGAGCACCAGCACACTTACGATGTACGCCCGAACTCCTCTGTCTATTCAAGTGGTGTCGTTACTAATACCATTTTTAGGATCTAGTTTGTTGGAATTTGATTTCACCATGTACACGAAGTAGGTAATTATTTCTTTCTCTTTAACATTTATCGTCTTAAAGTGCTTCATAATGGTCTGCAAAGAGAAAATTCATAGAATTTAAGATTTAGTTGAAGAAAAAAAAAAATATTGGGATTTGATTATGACTCCAAAACTGCTGGTTGTTGTGGCATAAAATGGATTGAGATTATTGCACCGCTACAGTACAAGAATTTAAACAAGTTACTACCTTTTTTATGGTATGAAAAAAAATGTAAAACTATTAGGCTCTTGCAGGTTCTGGAACAAAGCATAGGTATTTCTAAATACCATACTCGACTGTCAAAGCTCAATTACTCTTGACATTACAAGTTTGCGTATTAAAAAATCTAATTGATTCTAAAATATGCATTCGGACGCATGTACGGGCTCTGGATGTGGCATTGTAAATTAATATTTCGGATCGAATGTGGCCTTTGGATCCTTTTCTTAAAAATAAAGCTGTTACTTTCTACCAATACATTTGTATGAAAATTTGAACATTATGAATAATTACATATCTATAGTTAGCCTTATTTGTAATCCGTTGACTTTTCTTTTTTTAAACGTTTTGGTAAGCACAATATGCTTTTGGATGTGCCCTTGGGATACGATCCTTATCTTACTAATGAAGGTATTTATGATTTCGCAAAAAGTCCTCATTACCAGAAAATTTCCTTTATCTGCTCATTTCGGTATGAATGCTAAAGCATTTAACATACAGTGTCGACTAATTCTAAACTCTTAATTGTAACTATCATGGATTATGTAATAAGTTTTGAAGGCATAATCAAAACCAATTGCGTTTCACTTTTTTTTAATAATACTTACATCTGCTAACTGGGCTCTTTTCATTCCTGGTCGTGTTTGCAATTTATAGTGCCTCTTGTATCGCTTCAATGTGTTCATCTGCAGCTGATAAAGATCTGGCACTTCTGGTAGGTCAATGTCTGTATCATTACTATCGTCTTCGGATTCTTTTCGTCGTCTTTTGGAGCGAGCGGATTGAATTCGGTCTTTGTGATAGTCGCATATGTAAATGTGCTGAGATGTAGGATCGCTGCTCAATTTAAGACGTTTGTCTTTCACCTGAACGCAGAAAAAGTATTTTCCGATAATAACAAACCACAAACAAAAACGAATAGAAGACACGCTTTACTTACCGTCTTTTGTATACGTTTACTGTAGCTCGCGTTTCCAGCGGTGTTTCTGCATCTTTCATTTTCATCTATCAAACAACATGTTTGGTCAGCATGCCCACCTCTTGAATCCTCTTCCGTACTAAAACCGTTGTTCATTGTCCTCGATAATTATGTCGTGCTATTGAAAATATGTGTATATTTTGTATTAGAATGTAACATCTAGAGCTTGGGGCTTAGATGCTTTTTGCGGATGAGTATTGGCTCCTTATTTCCTAACTTGGTTTCACAACAACGACCGTCGTTAATAGCCGCAATTTGTTCACTTTTCCTTAATTGTAATTCCTGTTTTCTTCGAAATTGAGTAGATTTTTTTATTTTGCTTCAATTTGCCGGTGATTTGTGTATTATCTGTATTTTATTCCTGCCCTTCTTTCTACGTAGTATTTACTTTTTAAATCAATAATACAGCAAAGCAAATCTTTTTCTTTATCTCACCGTAGGAATAGTCGACACTCGTCTAATCAACTAATCGATTTTTGGCATTACTACCGATTACTGCTTGAGTAATCGATTAATTGCTTTTCTTTGTCGACTTTCTCACCGATACAATTGTATTTACAAGGTGACTCAGTGTGCTATCAAATACCGTTGTTTTAATACTAAATATATCTGTTCTGGCGAATAAATCAGTTTACAACGTTTAAATTATTATTGGGTATGTATTTGATGGAAATGTATGGTAGAAGAATATAGGTAGGTTTTTAAAATGTTTTATCAAAAATAAGTACACTTTTAAATGTTTTCTTATACGACTCAAATCGGTGGTTTTACAAATTTCAATAATTTTTCATTCAACATTTTCAATTCCTAAATCGGTTTGACAGTTCATTGTCCCAGCAGCTGTGTCGATGCGACTACCTGTATTCTACCATGATGGAAATGCTTTTTTAGCCAGACAGCAAGAGAAAAGTAAAGGCGCAAATACACATGAAAACTTTATACTGGCTTAAGTATTTTTAAGAGTAGTCATTAATAGAAGTTTTTGTAACCGTAAATCAATTGTTAATTTTATTCATTTTTTTTTTTGTTAATTTGTTTAATGCTTTATTTTAAATAAGACTTTTAAGAATATTATAATTAATTTAGAGCAGTCATATAAAGAAGTTTTTAAAACAGTCCATGGCCCTATGGGATAGGTTACTGTCATGGTACAATAAAAAGGAAAGGTAGAGCTACCAGCTGATTACAATTTTTTTCTAAGTGTGCCCGACTTCTGTCAATTTTGTGTATGTATCATGGTAGAAGAATATAGGTAGACGCATCGACACAGCTGCTGGGACAATGAACTGTCAAACCAATTTTGGAATTGAAAATGTTGAATGAAAAATTATTTAAATTTGTAAAAATTGTTTAAATACACGAATTATAATAACCTCCAAATGACGTTGTATAAGAAACATTTAAAAATCTACTTATATTTGAAAAAAACATTTACATTTTTTGACATATCAATGCTCCCAAGCTTTGATGCATCTACCTGTATTCTTCTGCCATGGTATGTATTAATTGTTTTGAACATGGTAGAAGAATATAGGTAGACGCGTCGACACAGCTGCTTGGACAATGAACTGTCAAACCAATTTTAGAATTGAAAATGTTGAATGAAAAATTATTTAAATTTGTAAAAATTGTTGAAAAGCGCGAATTATAATAGCCTCCGAATGACGTAGTATAAGAAAGTATATAAAAATCTACTAATATTTGAAACACCCATTTAAATTTTTTTGACATATCAATGCTCCCAAGCGTTGATGTATCTACCTGTATTCTTCTGCCATGGTTTTGAAAAATAAAAACAAAATATTTCCAAAATCAATTATAGGAAGAAACATAAATAGCGGAACGCGCATTAATGATATTAAACAATTAATGATATTAAACATTTAGGATCATATTTTTGAGAGAACATCCAGGCATTTCATTCATCTTTCGCGCTATTTGATGCATTAGAAAAATAACCAAAAAGTATCAAATAAATGAGAACAACTTGTTGGATGTATTTCTGTAGTTTTACGAAGCTGTTCTACCTCCTTATTGTACCATGGTTACTGTACAAATTGAAAATAAATAAAAAAAAAAATAAATTAGTCATCGGCTGGATTTTTTGTAGGTGAGTACAGAGTTTTAGGTTGAAATATGCTCTTCATCTGTTCCAGAACTGCAAATCGATAACTGATTGTTTACTTTATTGATCCAAAAAAAAAAAACAAAGTATCCCAATATTATAGACGATAAAAAAACAAAAAAGGTGAGAGTCAAGTCATCGGCTGTCATCTTTGGAAAAGAACAAAGGAGCGTAAGGCCAAAATCGAACTAAGTCAACCTAAAGGTGAGAATACATTAAGCGCTTATCTGGCTGGCTTAATTCATCGGCTGGCTTCTTCGGAAATGAATAAAAGGGCCTAGGGCCAAAATCGAACTAAAACTGTATTGTTCTTCTACGAAGAAGCCAGCCTAAGATGTGTTATTGTATGTAACTCTTCCTTCGAGGCACAACTTTTTAAAAGTACCAACACTTAAGGTGATAATGTATAAAACAAATTATTACGAATTTTATTGCCATACCTCTGAAAAAATGCGTATATTTTAAAGCACAGTTGTAATAAGGAGAACCGGATAATGCGAATTTTATCCTTCACTTTTGAAAAATGAAAAATGCATATAATAACAAATAAAAAAGCTGTAAGTTCGGCCAGGCCGCACTTTGAATACCCACCACCATTTGGAAAGAATTTGGCATTTCATTTTTTATATTAGGGTCTATACGACGACATGAAACTGCGTAGGAAACATTTGTCATAAGCTATTACAATATTCAAATGCGAAACTTAAAAAAATGTCGATAAAATCAAAATACCTAATATCGGGAGGTACTGTTATATGGGGGCTCTACGAAGACGTGGACCTGCACAGACAATTTT